TTCGAACCCGCGAACCACAGATTGCGAGTCGAGCGTCCCATTCATTATCTAATAGGCACAAAGTCAAAGTACAGTTTCTGATCCTTTCAACAAACCTATGTTGGATAATTTATGCGATTTGTTTAGTCAAAGCCTTGTTTGCATTACGCTGAATATTTTCAAAACATATTTTGATTTGATAGTTTAAAACTGCATTAATCAACTACTTTAATGGAACCCTTTTCTCCACACAAATTTGTAAACACTACAATTATTAGACTGAGAAGAATAAATTGATCATGTAAAGTGGCAGATGATTGTTGGAGATGTGGAGAGGTAATAAGATTGTCTGCAAAACAATGAATTAGAGAAAGAATCTTCCCGACATTCAATGGGGCATGATATTAGGTGTTCACTTAGTAGAAGTGTCGTTATCAAAGAATGTTTCTTTGACTGGGTAGTGAAAAATGTTTAACCGAGTCTATTAACAGTACTAATAGAAAGGTAGTATGTCTGCCTCTAGATAAACTGTGACTACTTATTGCAAACAACAAAAACATTTGGATAGGCTTAAAGCTCACAACATCTAATGCATTCATTTACAGTAAGAATTTTAAAATAAATTACAGTTTAATTTCTTTTTTTTTTACATTTTCAAGCTATAATTCAAAAGAAAAATATAGTCAAAAACTCGGTGATTTTGAGTTTTTATCTGCATTGATTACACATAATGACTTTCTGGTTCGTTTTAAAGTTAGAATTTCATTAAAAGTAAATGAAATCGAAGAAAAACAGGCCTAAACTTTTTTAATACAATTAGTATAACATTTGTATCGAATAAAGGCGTACTTAGTGGCAAGTATAGGTTTATCTTGTTTAAACTTATTAATGAGTCTCGGAACAAATATAAAAGAAGATCAAAACAATACTCACTGAAAAAGAATTGGAAGGGTTTGAATGTGTCTCTAACTGATTCATTCGTTGAGAGTGGGAGTCTCCTTCATATCCGCTGAAAAAGCCTGATATAAGAGTATATTTCCTATCACTGGACTTATCCAATTGTTCATTTTCTTCTGATAACTTGTTTCTTTCAGATTCTTCGGACACACACAAATCATTAATATACCCCTTTTCATCTGATTTATAAGTTTGTCCAACGTCTTCTAAAGTTGTGTTTCTTTCAATCGTTTTGTGTATATTTGATCCGTTAACACCCCTGTTTTCATCTGATCTTTCAGATGTTTCAGAACTTTGGGTACTTTGCTCTGGCTGCTCAGTTTGGTTAGATTGTTTTAAACCTTTGATTTTTTCACGTTCAATATCTACAAATGTTTCATCAAGTTGTCCACTTTGTTTCAAGTGATTAATTTCGTTAAACTGTTCTGAACTTGTGATTTCTTCTGTTTCATCGATTTGTTTATTTATTTTCAACTGATAAGCTTTGTCAGATTGTTCTGTAGTTATGGTTACATCAGATTCAGTAGCTACAAGTGTTTCACCACTTTGTCTATCTTCTTGCAGTTCATCAGTTTGGTTAGATTGTTTTGAATCCATGCTTCCATTAAATTCTGTATTTATAGATGTTTCACCACTTTGTCTATCTTCTTGCAGTTCATCAGTTTGGTTAGATTGTTCAGAATCTATGCTTCTATTCGATTCTGTATTTATAGATGTTTCACCACTTTGTCTATCTTCTTGCAGTTCATCAGTTTGGTTAGATTGTTCAGAATCCATGCTTTCATTCGATCCTGTATTTATAGATGTTTCACCACTTTGTCTATCTTCTTGCAATTCATTAGTTTGGTTAGATTGTTCAGAATCCATGCTTCCATTCGATTCTGTATTTATAGAAATTTCACCACTTTGTCTATCTTGCAGTTCATTAGTTTGACTAGATTGTTCAGAATCTATGTTTCTATTCGATTCTGTATTTATAGAAGTTTCACCACTTTGTCTATCTTCTTGCAATTCATTAGTTTGGTTAGATTGTTTTGAATCCATGCTTCCGTTAAATTCTGTATTTATAGATGTTTCACCACTTTGTCTATCTTGCAGTTCATCAGTTTGGTTAGATTGTTCAGAATCTATGTTTCTATTCGATTCTGTATTTATAGAAATTTCACCACTTTGTCTATCTTGCAGTTCATCAGTTTGCTTAGATTGTTCAGAATCCATGCTTCCATTCGATTCTGTATTTATAGAAGTTTCACCAATTTGTCTATCTTCTTGCAGTTCACCAGTTTGGGTAAATTGTTCAGAATCTATGTTTCTATTCAATTCTGTATTTATAGAAGTTTCACCACTTTGTCTGTCTTCTTGCAGTTCATCAGTTTGGTTAAATTTTTCAGAATCCATGCTTCCATTCGATCCTGTATTTATAAAAGTTTCACCAATTTTTCTATCTTCTTGCAGTTCATCAGTTTGGTTAAATTGTTCAGAATCTATGCTTCTATTCGATTCTGTATTTATAGAAGTTTCACCACTTTGTCTATCTTCTTGCAATTCATTAGTTTGGTTAGATTGTTTTGAATCTATATTTCCCACAGGCCCATTAAGTACTAATACTTCTTCAGTTTGGGTATATTTTTCCAGTTGATTAGTTTGATTAGATGTTTTTGAATTTTTGGTTCTTTTTAATGTTGTAACTATACGTATTTTGTGAATTAAATTCTGTTGTCCTCGTGTTGAACTCCTTTCTTGGGATGAGATGTTGCGAAAACAGCGTTGGTCAATTTGTTCATTTTTTATCATACTGTCAGGTTGATCCAATTCTTTGTTTTCTTCATCTTCACTAATTTTAACTATCTTATAATATTCTTTATTATGTTCAAAAATATGTAAACTAAGCTCATAATGGAAATTTTCGACGTCCATCGACTGACCGTTTTGCTTGCAGCATTCATCCGAAACTTTTTTGATCTGCTCATTTTTACGATTGGTAACATGCGAATTATTTACCATATTATTCTCTATCACAATGTCTGGGTTGTAGATTCTATTTAGTTCTGATTGACTTGGCTCCTCCAATCTGTCTGATCGAAATTCCCCTGTTTGTCCCTTTACATTTAGATTATCATCTTGTTTAGTTGCCTTTTGAAAACCACCGTCTTCTGAATTAATTACATCTGTCAAATCGACTGTAAAACATCGTTCAGAAGCATTAAGAAGCTGATGGGAGGAAACACCTAAGAGAAAAAATCCCGCAAAAACTGATTTCTTATTGAGTAAAAAAAAAAAAATGATTGCCATGAAAGGCAAAAATAATACATTACATTGAACAAAAGTTCAAAAGAAGAAGGTGAGAGAGAGAAAAAAGCTTAAGACCTTAAGCTGTTTCCAGAGCATGATATCTTGAAAATAAATTTAGTTCCGACATGGCTTAAACTTATTAGATGGTTAACAGTGATCCACAGGTTATTGTTTGTTTTAGCGCAATTCTATACAATGGTGGGGCTGGGGAGGAGGCTATATGCGTTCTGTCCACCGCACAAACACAAGGAATTCGTATTATTTTCAGAACCTTCGTGCAAAGTTACACAAAGGGCTATCTGCATATATTGCCCATAATTTTGAAGTGATGGACTAGAGGTAAGGCAGTTAGTCAATAGCACTCATACCCAATTTTTGGACTACTCTTGTCTTAACTAATAATCGAATTTGACCGCCAACCAGGCTTCAAAGTGTGGACCATGTTTTTGTGTCAACTGAGCATGAAACAAGAACCTTTAGATTCATAGTCCACGAACTCTAACCACGAGGCCACGCTGGGCCAACTAGTAGTTAAAAGAAATTAAACGAAATCAGATTTTACAATGAACAGAAATTAAGAACAAAATTTGATTATAAAAAACTAATAAATACCTTTAAAATATTGAACAATTATACAAAACCAACAGAGACTTTTGAAATATTCAAGCATTTCACATGAAATAGCAAATGAGATAGAAAAACTACATGCTTAAAAAAATAAACCTTTCTATAAGCTATATTATAATCAATCTAAATTTCGTTTCATATGGATAAATGAACAAAAATGGCTACACCAGGATAAATTAAATTAGCACGAAATCGGCTTAAAACTTTGACAACTATGTTTTCATTCGGAAGCCAAATCCTTCTCTTTTCTTTAACCCCAAAATATATCTTCATAGAAAAAATTGTGAAAATATATACATTAAAATACAAAATAATTGACATGAAAACTATTTTCAACTTGTCGATGTCATTAGTGGATCGTAGAGAGGAGTACTTCCAAAGTGGCAGAATACCTTTGGTTCTATCTGTCAAATGATGCCTTGGGCCCTCTAAGGGATTTTTTGTATCTCAGCCAACTCTTTTTGTGTTCAATGCCACTAGATTTGCACTTTGAATAACTTTGTGCTTCTGACCCTCTTTTCAGTCGTTTCCACAAAAAAAAAAACTAGAACTCGGGCATCTGTCCATTAAGTTGTCTGAACTTACCAACAGCGATGCCAGGAAACCAACGCAGATATATCAAGGAATATAGATTAATGGTAATGCCGATACCTCCACAGCTTTCCTGATCAAGCTTTTTTTGTGTTATCACCATAAAGGTGATATTGGTAAGGATCTCAATGACTTTCTCGCTACTGATGTTTGGTTTGAATTTCGCTCAAAGCTACACGAGGGCTATCTGCGCTGGCCGTCCCTGATTTGGCAGTATTGGAGTAGATGAAAGGCAGCTACTCATCACCACCAACAACCACCTGTTGGGCTACTTTTTACCAACAAATAGTGGGATTCACAGTCAAATTATAACGCCCCCACGGCTGAAAGGGCCAGCATGTTCGGTGGGTCGGGGATTCGA